CCCTCTGACTGTGGGACAGGCCACTGCTCCACTGCCAACCCTCAGGCTGGGGTTTCCACTCTCCGGCCCCTTCCTGCCCTCAGCCTCCTGCAGCCCGAGCTCCTGGCGGCCAGTGGGCCCGTGTGCACCCTGCACGCACCCTTGTCCCGGCCTCTCGTCTCCTCCGGCTGGGCTTGGGAGGCCTTCCCTGACAGACACAGGGCCTGGCTGCTCCCGCCTCCCTGGGAGCGCCCCCTGAGCAGCGAACAGGTCCGTCCTCAGCCCTCAGCGACCTCGCAGTGCTGAGGCGAGCGCCTGGCGGGCGTGGGCCCGCAGTCGGCTTTCCCCTTGGCATTTCTGCCTCCATAGGAGCAGCCGAGACAGTGTCTGTGCCTCTGGTCCCCAGACCCCTGCCCCAGAATAGTCTGCGAACCCCTACCCTGCGGCTCCAGACTGGCCGAGCGGGATGCGTGTTCACACAGCCCTGGGCGCCCGAGGCTCCACGCGGTTGTGGTAAGTGAGGCAGGCGCAGCGCCCAGCGGACATGGAGACTCACTGCACCTTTCCTTCCGTTCCCCGAACCCATGGTCAAGAAATCTGAGGCTCAGAGAGGACCCCCTTTTCACAGGACAGAGTCGGAGGCCGCATCGATGTCCTCTGCCTCTTCCCCGCCCCTGAGCTGTGGGCCAGGCACCCACCTCGGCCGCCGGCACCTCCCCCTGGAGGTCCTGGGCTCAGCTCCGCCCAGGGCAGCTTACTTGCCGCAGACAGGGAAGAGGGAAGCAGAGAAGGCTGATTACCCATGACCACCTTCACCTGCGACGTGCGGGCGCCATGCGTGGCTCCGTGTCCCCCTCAGCTGTGAGGCCCAAGGAGCTGACCCGGTGGGACACCTGGCTCCCTGAAGGCATGGTTCTTGGGCTGGGCTGGCACCTGCCTGGCAGAACGAGTGTGGCTTCGAAGAGGTGAGGGTCTGTGCTGAATTAAGGGATGATCTTAAAACCCAGCCGTTCACGGAGCCCCCTGAACAACCCTTTCCTGACTGGCTGGCGAGCCGTCACTTGCTAGATCTCACTTTGCATTCAGGGACTGTGCCAAGTGCTCGCTGAATCGAGGTGACTTCCCCCGTAGGTACCACCATCCCATTTACATTTGAGGAAATGGAGGCACTGGCAGGTGCAGTAGCCGCTCGGGCCTCACAGGGAATGAGTGACGGAGTGAGGGTTTCAGCCTGAGGCTGGGCTGGGTCCATGGACGAAGGTGGGGCCTGCGGGAGCCTGGGCTCTGCACACACGGTGCCCCCCCGCCCCCCATGGTGACCAGGGACTGCTCACTAGGACGAGTTAAGGCTACTCTCGTTGTGACTCTCACCCACACAGTCGGGGCTGGCGGGTTCTCAGTGCGTGCCTGGAGGGCAGTGCCCAGGACACCGGCTGTGGGAGGAGTGACTGGAGACCCGAGCGCACCCATCTAGGGGAAGAGGCCTCCGGGGGATGACAGAGCACTTGCCCTTTGGCTTAGGAGCGAGAAAGCCCGGAGTGGACGCAGTGCAGGGCGCCTAAGTGTCCCAGGGAGGCCAGGCGGTGGGCAGAGCTGGGAAAGCTTGCCCCCACCCCCACCCCCATTTGCTCAGCGGGGCCGAACCCTGGGGCTCAGGTTTGACCCCTCCCCTAAGGTGCCCTGAGGCTCACCGCTGCGCTGAGTGGTACAGACCCGGCATGGAAAAGAGGTGAACCCCACTCTAAGGGGCGCGAAGGGAGAGGAGAGTGAAAAGCAAAGCGAGGAAGCAGGAGACCAAGGGTTCCAGCGGGAGAGCGAGTTGAGAGAGGGCCTGGCCTCAGCCGGAGGTCAGGGGCGGGCACTCCAGGAGCTGCAAAGGCCTGCCCCGCCCCCCCCCCCCCCCCCCCCCCCACCTCCTGGGGTTACCGTGCTGCAGCCTCTGCAGCTGTTTCTGCAGCTGCCGCTGCTCCCAGGCCAGCAGCCTCAGCTGGCACAGGTGGGCCTGCTCGAGTCTCTGCAGATGCTGGCTGAGCCTGGCCTCGGCCTGCTTGGCATGCTTCCTCTCCCAATCCAGCTGCTTATGCAGCGGCCTCCTGGCCATGTGCCGCTCCGTCCCCTTCATGCTCTCCCAGGCGACACGGAGGCCCCAACACAGCGAGTGGGCGCCTGGCCTGGTCTCTCCCAGGGGTCTGAGCCGCGCTGCTTGCCTGTGAGGTGGAGGCGCACTGTTGGGAGTCTGCTCTGTGGTGAATGAGATGCCAGGGACCCTGAGGACGACGGAGGGACAGTCGCTCCTCTGAGCCACCCTCTACCCAGAAATCCGTGGTAGATGGAGCCCCCCGTCCCCCCCCGCCCCCCAGGACCTGCTATAAGATCAGGGGAAGCACACAGGACTCTGGGGAAAGAAAGGCAAGGCTGTCTGTGGAGGCGGCATCACCACCCACGGGAGTGCCGTGTCCTGCTCAGGGCTCCCTTCGGTTCACTCACTCACACGCGCAGGTCCGTGGCCTGTAAAGGCCCGTGCCAGCCGCTCTGGGAGGGAGGGGGTCCCATGGAGGGAGATTTCAGGTCGGTGACTTGGGGGCCAAATCGGAACAATCACTTTCCAAAGTGCAGAGTGGGACCTGCTGGTCCAGGCGCTGCCCCCCGGGCCTGACACAGTCCTCAGGCGCCCTCAGCCTCTCGTCTTCCCAGAACCACCCCCTCCTCCCTCTGGACCCCGAGGACCAAGCCCAGGGCGACTTCTCCCTGCTCGGGTCTCCTGTCAGTGAGGGCGGGGACAGGTCTCCCCGCTGGAGCCCGGGGGTGAGTGGGTTTCCTTCGATAGTGATAGTACTGTGGTGGCAAGATAAGGTCAGGATGAGGGAAGACGAGAGAGGACACAAGAGAAGCTAGGCAGCCGCTCTGGGGACCGCAGGCCAGGTGAGCAGCACTTACCTGCGAGCCGGGCTCCCCCCGGAGGACGCTGCTCCCTCCTCTGCGCTGGGTAAGGAGCTGAGCTGCGCTTCTCGCTTCTCGGGTCCAGGGGTCTGGTGTGGGGGGCGAGGCCAGCTGGAGCCAGAGCGGAATATGCTTCAGAGCTCGCAGAGCCTGTGCCCCGCTCAGGAATGCTGGCTGCCTGGCAGGCTCGCCCCAGGCTCTAAGTCCCGCCCCCCCAAGGGTCCCGCCCCTTACTGTCCCCCGTGTCCATGGGAGCCCAGAGTGGAAGCCAGGCATGTCCGTGCTCGCACCCCCTTCTTCCTCCGCTTAGCCCTGCCCCCCTCCT